CTCTTACTTAATTGGCCTCTCAGAGTTGGTAAGACAGCTCCCACTTTTCACGCTCTCTGTATGTGTATATATATCTCCTCAATATATGTTCCATTCTATGCATCCAAAGAAGTGGGCTGTAGCCCACGAAAGCTTATGCTCTAATAAATTTGTTAGTCTCTAAGGTGCCACAAGTACTCCTGTTCTTTTTTCAAGGTAGAAAAGGCATCTGAACCAGAAGGGTTTTCAGGCTTTGCTTGAGCAGAAGATGAATGCTTGAGCTACAGCTCCGAATTTCTGCTGAGCCAAGCCCCACTGTTTACAGTGCTGGCCTCTGAGCTGACAAATAGCAAGGGCACTTTAAATTTGATTCCACTCTCACTGAATCCCTGTTTTGTTCTTTAGCACCTCAAATGAGAGACGTCACATTCTACTGATAAACGCAGGGTTAAAGTAACTGAAGGAGATTAACAGAGAAAAATAGCAGGCGTTACAGCAGGACACACACGCCAATGTCTCTTGCACTGCGTCACTGCTAATGCCAATGCAATGATCTCTGTTTGAACGCCCAGTAATAAATGTCAGCACTTGCTATTCCAACTCAAATGCAAATTGCCTCCTTGGAGCAGCTGAGCTTCCTTCTCAACCGTCCCCCGGCCCTAGTCAGCAGGAGCAGTGAGGCACTCTGCACCTCACAGGATCAGGCTGTTAATGAATATGGGGAACTATCATTTTCTTGAAAACTGTCATAACTTGTTTATTCCCTTGCAGTAAATATGCTAAACATTTACTCTGTACAGAGCAGTAATTATTTATAAAAGGCAAGGGAATGTGCTTTTTCTCCGTATGCATATTTAATGGCCCCCTTGTATTGCAATTAGTGCAACTGAACAACAGGAATTGGGTTAGGAGGGGTTGGTCAAAGAAACTCAACTGTAGGTAGTCTCTGTGGTTCTCCCATGCTAGCTTGGAGCTGCTCGTTGGGATCCACTGTTAGAGTCTGTCTTAAGGAGAGGACTATGAGCTGCTTCCCTGGGCACACCCCAAAAGAGGAATATGGGTTATCCACATCAACCTGCAGTTTTGTTGTTCTGATTTAAAACCAATTAAGCAAAATGAATTGCCTGGTCAAACTCATTTTATGACCACTATGCCCCATTTTATTCTACAAGTTCTGTCACATCTGCACAGGAGGAGAAATCCTATTCCCAGGGAGACCCTAGTCCCGAGAACCAGCGACAATTCTACTGTCACAGGGTTGTAATCCAGCTTCCAGACCCTATGGGCTCCTTTCATTCTGTGGAGTCTACCATCCTATGGGACACAACCAAGGCTCAAGCCTGGAATATATCCATGAGCCTGTGAAATGCTGAGCACTATTGTCCGGTACCAAGCACCCTCCAGCCCCATCAAGATCCATGGCAGTTGCGAGTGTTCAGCACCTGGCAGCATCAGGCCCTAAGAGAGGAACACAATTTTCATAAGCCAGCACCACCAGCCTGGTTCTCCTCCCACTTACATCTGTGTTACTCTATTGAGTTAGGTGGAGTGACTCAGATTGACACCAATGAAATTCAGAGAACATGCAGGGTTTCCACCACAAAGGTAACGAAGATTGCTATCAGGTGCTAGCTCAGTGGTTTTCAATCTGTGCTCTGCAGACCCCTGCGGTCCACAGACTATGTCTAAATTCCAAAAGGATCCACACCTCCTTTCAAAATTGTATAGGGGTCTGCAAATGAAAAAAGGTTGAAAACCACTGGGCTAGATTATAGGCGTACCCAGATGGTGATTAAAATATTTGATAAGCCTGTACACAAACACACACTTTAATTTTTTGCATCGGGTGATCTCAGAACATACCAGTAGAATCAAATCCTGTTCTAAGGTACCTCCTAGAATCTGTGTGCTTCAAACAGCGAGTGAGTCCAAAGTGCAACAATAGCTCACATGCAGCCTTGGCCTTCAGAACCTGCTGAGGAATGCTGGGCAAGGTCAAAGCATCAAGGACTCAAAAAGTTGCAGGTCTTTCACTTCTACCTGCACAGCTTGAAGGAAGGCCGGACATCAGCTTAATACCACAACGGAAGGGTCGCATCTCTAACCTGTCCCTCTAATACAGCAGCCAGCACATTAGCCCTAGTCCCAGTGTGATGCTCAGATCCATAACCTTCTGGTGAGTGGTGCTTACTACTCCCATCTCAAACAGCAAAGAGAATCTTACTGTGTGCTTCTCTTTAAAATTACCTCCTGCATTGGGCGTGGATATGATCATGATGAAACCTTATTCTCACTCCAGCCCCACACAGGTAGGGTCTATATTTCTTGTTGACTTTGGTTTGGGGAGGAATTAACAAGTTGTATAGAGACGCTGATCACTTTTGTAACCACAGACAGCCATCACCAATCACACCCGGGAGTCATGGCTCATAAAAATTAAGTGTGGCACGTCCGAGAGGCATAGCTACAAAGGTGCAAGTGGTGCAGTCGCACCAGTGCCCATAAGGTTTGGGGGGCCCACTCGACCTTCGGCCCCGTTGTAGTAAGGGCACAGTCTACCTATTGGCAGACGAGGCTCCCAGGACAGAGCAAGACGCTGCGG